TTGAATTTTTCAGTCGAATTCAAATCTTTAGTTTACAACCCGCGATCTTCAATGTGCAGTCTGACATAAACTTAAAAAGATGCACCGCAGGAAACATTTCGTACTCGTATTGACGTTAATAAAAATTTTTGTGTTAAAATGATGTCTAATACTTCTTAATTAAAATAACACAATTTATGAATAAGTAAATAAATAACATAAAAGCACCGTGTTTTAAAATTCTAGAATAAATCATTAAATATGTGTTAATTTAATCATAACTGTAAATTTTACTGAAAAAAAAATGTCCGCAGTTTGTTTACATATTATGTCAGTGTTGCAATATTTTTCGTGTTGATTTTTTTATCTAATAACAGTGTTATATACTTTCTAACATATTTATACCTTGTGTTAAATTAGCAAAAAATTTGAGGATCGTTTAGAACATGCGAAATGTGTTTTTAAGACAACTTTTCTAATCGTGTAATCCGATACGGACTTTACGGATGAGGGCGCACGGGAGAAAGAAAGAAAGAGTAGAAGAGAGAGCGCGCAATGGTATACAGGAAGTGGTACAGCATTGCCGCAGGGAAGGACGCCGAATCTGGGCCACAATTACAGGAGGCCGGCGTTGCGCCTCTCTTTCCTCCAGTAGCGCGACTGGCGCCGCGGTTACATATACGCTCTCCTGCTTTCGAAATAATAATTATTTAATACCCGAAGCAAACGGTGAAATGCGGGACTCGACTGAGAGAAAGAAAGGAAGAACGAGAAAGAAAGATGGGGACCGGTTTCCTTTCGGCTTCCCGCACTTCGTGACAGCTTCCGAGAGCCGGTAGCACTGCGATATGGCAAGAGCAATAAGAGGCACAAAAACAATACCTATAATTTTCGAACGAACCAAAAACACAGTCTCGATCGAAGTCTATCGTGATCATTATCTCGATCTTACGTTGAGATAAATGATCGCAGCAATAAAAAGTACGCACAAAAAGGATTTTCTAATCATACACAGATCAGAATTCCGGTTGTCGTATAATTGAATTTCCGATTATTTCTATTAGACTGTTTGATAGATTTCTAATAAGTGTACTTTTCTCGTTGAATCTATAAGAATTGCAATTAACTATACGATGCCATTCTTAGTGTGTTATACTAGAAAGTCTTTTTACTTTTCAAAGATTCCAGGTTTACAGGTTATCGCCTTATTGTGTTTTTATCTATTGTTATAAAGCCAATACTTCGTGAACCTTGCCGTTCACTTCATCAGGGCGAGGAGCGTACTGTGATGATGCTTTTACTTTTACTACAATTTTTTTATCGATGAAGGCACCTTTGTTTGTAATTATTAATATTTCTTGATTTAATTAAAAAGAAATTGTTTTTTTTTTTTAATAATTTTAAGGTATTCTTTATAAAATATCTGAGCTATAAGCATTTATCTAAAAAATGGTGCAATTTCAGCGACCGTATTCTACGTGTTAAAATCGTAAGCAACTGATAAAGCAATAACCAGATAAAAGGATTGACGTTAACATATACGACTTTCCTAGATACCGTGGTAATTATCGCGTCAACGTCGTTCTATGCCAATCAGACATAAATAACCGAGAGTAATCGCAACGAACATTTACATATTCCACTTCTAGGATATTCGCAGATATTCGCTGCGGAAGTAGAGGGAAAGTGGTAACACAAAAGCGAAAAAAGGCAAAACAGCCATGCCGTGAGCAGTTGACCGAACAGTTCATGCGTATATACAGCTCGAAAACGGTACACGCGTACGTGTACACGCCTCAGAATTGCCACAATCATGATAGAGGCGGATAATAAAGCGCTCCACGGTAGAATACTGTTTATACAGTACTCGTTATGCGTGACTCATTGAAACGGCACATCGACGCGATGCGATCAGAAGAGAAGCCTCCGGGGCCTCAATAATGCGGCTCGGTGCAGCTGCTCGTTTGAGGAATGCAGAAAATAGCGCGCGACATTCCGCGTGGCGCTGCCCATATTCGTTCCACAACAGGTTTCGAATTATTCTTGCTCCTCCCGTTACATTCCGTCCCTTCCAATACGTACCTTCACCTCGATACTGATCGCTGAAAATGTAATTAATTCAAGAATAATTTACCTTGAACGATAATCAGAGGCTCCATTGCAGTCTTAATTTCGTGACATATTTCAACGATGTTACGTAAAGACAGAAAACGATGTATCGGATTTCAATTCTGTTTGATCTTCGCGCAGAAAAATTGAATGCTCCGAGACTCTCGCGGAGGCTATGTGAAGTTGGCCCCCCCACTATTGCAAATCTAAAAATGACCATTACCATTCGTTTGGTGGTCGTTTGGTGGTGTTTGGTAGTCCATTCCCGATGATTGGTAGTCGAAATTATAGCCGGAAATATCAAAAAAGGATATATGCGTGTGAAGTTAGCCCCCCCATTTCTAAAACTCGGCTTTGCAGAATGCAAATGCAATAATGGCTGTAAGCATTCGTTTGGTGGTCGCTTACTGATGTTTAGAAATTGCCGAGTTTTAGAAATGGGGGGGCTAACTTCACACGCATATATCCTTTTTTTGATATTTCCTGCTATAATTTCGACTACCAATTATCGGGAATGGACTACCAAACGTCAGTAAGCGACCACCAAACGAATGCTTACAGCCATTATTGCATTTGCAGTCTGCAAAGCCGAGTTTTAAAAATGGGGGGGCTAACTTCACGCGCGTATATCCTTTTTTTGATATTTCCTACTATAATTTCGACTACCAATTATCGGGAATGTACTACCAAACACCACCAAATGATCACCAAACGAATGGTCATGGTCACTTTTAGATTTGCAATAGTGGGGGGGCTAACTTCACATAGCCCCTCGCGGACTACGAAAATTTAAAAAATTGTAGCTTTAAAAAGAAAAACTGTTTGGTGTTTGTAAATTATAAGTGAAATAATTCTGATCAAGAATTTGTATAACTGTTGCTATTATAGTATTAGTAATAATATGACTTTATATTTTTGTGATTCTACTATAATTATGGAAAATACTTATGAAAAAAGTACTATACATCGTAATAATTTAAAATTAATATTGATATAATATAAACACAATTACAATTATAGTTAATATTAATATAAATTATAGTTAAATTATCATAATTCCAATTATAATAATTACAGAATTATAAGATTTTACTATTAACGACAGTAATATAAAAATTCCTAACCGTAATTGTTTTATTTACAATTAAAAATGCTAAACAGTTTTTCTTTTCGACGTATCTATATATTTTTTCTCACCGTTTTAGTGATGGACAATAAGAGGAAATATTAGAAGATACGGTAATGTCTCGGTGCTAAGATGAGTGCCGTGATATATGTGTAAAATTCGTATTTTCTTGGTTCTTTTCCTGTACGATAAAGACATTTTGTTCGTCACTCTCTACCGCGTTTCCGCTAGTGAATAACGATCTTTCGTGCCACTTCGTTGATCTCGACAAATCCCAAACGATTTAATGTGATTTGTTTACCGGATAGTACACTTAAACTAACAATTTATTGAGTGTTGAATATGCGCGTTTTCCGCTGCGAGTGACCGGAATAGCCCAGTGAAAGCGCGACCATCAATGGCAACTTAACGTGATAATGCTCGCGAAGAGTTGCTTCTAGCCGTTATATATCCCCGCAGTCGCGAATCCTCGATCTCTACGTAAGTGCAATATACGCACATGACATAATCTTAGATTCAATGAGATGCGATACTCGCGCAAGCGATATTGCATAATCATCCTTGTTGCATAAGCTAATGAAGGCTGCAAGTAGAACAATCGTTCCATCAATATTCGAGCTCGATTCCGATAGCAAAGAATTTCTCCATGAACTCGCAAATTTGCTTAACGATGAATGCAATTAGCGATGCGATTATTATTCGATAAATATATGATTAACGATCTTTATTGCTAAATAGAAAAGTGACGGCATCCGAAACTCATAACGATGCACACATAGGCCGAGTTATATCATCGAAATGTTCAATACGTTAACTGAGGTTTGTCTTCCTCTTCCTCATTCTATTGTCGCGGCCGCCAACATGTCATTACAAATCACACGCAGTACGAATATCGTAACGTAAGTAATGGTATACGCATATACATCGCGTGATTATGACAACGTCAATTCGAACAAAGACCCGAACAAACAAATGTTACTGACGTCGATATGCCTCGGTAAAAAATTTTTCTTACATAAATACATATATAAACATAAACTTGTATAAATATTATTATTAATACATTAACAAGTAATTTTACATGAAAAAAAGAAGAATGTATGTACATATTTTATATGGCCCGCATTCAGAACGCATTTTTATCGATGAAAGCGCGCTTTTATCTCTGAAATTCTATACGTAATGTAAACTATAGCACGTTAATGCGTTAAAATCGAAAAATCCGTCTGCTTGTTTTTTAAGCATGAGGTAACAATTGGTTGAACATTGAGGCAGGCTTCAAGGTGATCTGAACATAAATGTGCGCGGTCAGGCTTATCGAATATATCTTTTCCCTAAACATAACAATTGAAAGTTTCATTATCTTCCAAGAGTTCGAAGGCTGCTCAACTCCCACCAATATAATTCTCAGCGCTTTTAGATTCAGCGATCATCCTTTCAAACATTTAGTCGTGATTTAACTCTCGTGCAACACGCAATATTTGCTCGACAAACAACCGTAGTGTTCGTTCAATAGTTTTGCACGCGTTTGTAGTCCAGTTGAACTTGCAACATGTTTCCGTAATAATCTTCGATACATATAAATTTTTATTTATTATCACATATCATATTTACTAAAACAATATCCTTTTATTTAGAGAAAATTGCACTAATTTCAACTGGGGATTGTGTATAAAAAAAAAATAAGAAACCCATCATCAGTGACTCAAACATTAGTATTGCTTCATTGTGCAAATTGTTATCGACCGCGTCGGTTTTTTTTTTTTACAGGATGAGGAGGAGCGGCATGAATGGACGAGGAGTCGGCGACAATGGCGAAGGAACTTTGGTCCTGCTCCTCGTCGCATTGACTCCTGTTATCTGCTCCGCCGGAATCCTGGACCCTTGGCAGTGGGCGCGCAGCGATCGGATCGAAGTCAACATACCTTGGTTGCCTTGTAATTATCATACTGATTAGATAGAAAATTTGATCATAGTAATGTTAGGAGTACATTTTATTCTTCTTTACAGTGTCCAAAATATGTATACACTGTCAAAAGTTTGAGATCATTAATTAAAAATGTCTACTATATGAATAATATTACGGACTAATATAATTGACATATAATTTACGTAGTACCCAATTTTACCAATTTTTTTACAATAAAAACATTAAATATTAGGTTCCTTTTATATCAAGGTAGTCACTCTTACAATAAAACTTTCTTTTTACTAATCAGATAATCCCTGTAAAATACAATATTCCTAGAACGTTATATGAATATCAAAAGAATAAATAATATTTATACATCATTCTAGGAATATTGTGGAATCTAGCTTTAAATTTTTTTCCGACAAAAAACTTTTCCATTCATCTTCCAACATATAATCAACAGCTGTGTAAAATAGTTCAATTTTGAAAAAAAAAAAGACTATTACAGTAATACATTTTCTTAAAATTGAACAATGCTATGTTGTAGACTACCAGCTATGAAGTTTTTCTTGTTGTAGGATACATACATATTGTTTATGTAATAAATATAGAATAAAATTTAATTAAAACGAATCAAATTAACGCGTTACTAAAGGGATAATTTCTTCCAGTCGAAAACGAGACGCGCTGCTACGACGAGTTGGGCTGCCTAAACATCACCAGGAGCTGGTACCACCTCATTCATCGACCTCTCAATGTTTTCCCATTACCGCGAGAAGTCATTAATACCAGATTCATCCTCTACACGAATCAGAATCCCCTGGACGTAAGTAAAGACCAATGTTTCAGATAAACAGCAATAAATTAAACTAGACCGCTACGTAATCTCTATCAAATATGTAAAAAAAGTAAATAAAAGCTGAATGCTTTCAAGATTAGTTCTTGGTGCCTAATAATCATATCTTTCCGTTTTTAGTACACATAAACGTCTTTTTTACACCCAAAAAATTTTTCAATTTTTTAAATCCGTCACGCTAGGAAGACTCCTTGATAAAGAAAGAAACGTTTACAAAAAAAAAAAACATGAAAATATTCGAAAAGATGTTTTTCATAGATGGATGTGCTAAATATATGTGTTAATGCATTTTCGTTTAAACGTGTAATAACGATCTGAGCACTACTTAAAACACGCATATATTCGGAAAAACGAAATAAATTCGAGGTGGGCGTCTTTTCTGTTTCGGATAAAAATCGCACGAGCGTCTCGAAAGTACATCTTGCGTTTTGGATGTTAACGCGAAAGTGAAACCTAGGTGAAGTATATAGATCAAAATATTCTCCGACTGGAATTTCATGGCTAATAAATCCGATACGATATGTAATCGCTTCCGCGTATATACACATAACCGCGCACATTGAGAAATTGTATTGACAGAGTCCGTCTGATTCCGTCTCATGGCAAGAATAATCGTATGAGATTTCCTCCAACCTCTTGCTTCTTATCGCGTATAGGATCAGCCGTCGATATTGAATCCAGTGAATGTCTTAATTGACTCTATTAATTAAACGAAACTACAAGTATTAGTCTACAGATAGCGTGGCACACGCATATACTATTCTTACGTGCACGAAGATAAGATCTCTGATTTATGAATTAATGGATATCCAAGGAGGAAGAGAGCCACGAGTCTATCTGGTATATCAGTAGCATAACGCGCGCAGTGAAATCACATACCTCTACCATATAACTGTGCACGCAAACGTATATCATTCACTTCACATAAAACCGCTGAATCGTGAAATTAAAAGAAATACTTTTGCATATACGCTTTGCGATTGGCAGAATTGGCAAATATTGGATCGAAACGAAAGTTCGTAGCTCTATCGAATTTCAATATTCAAGTAGCTGCTGTAGCTTCAAGTAACTCATGTAATTTCGTTAAAAAATTAACAAAATTTAAATTAAAAGAAAAAGTTTTAAAGCTTTTAAATTATTATTTTTTAAAAATCACTACGTTTTTTTAGTTCCTGTGAGTTTCATAATTTTTACACGTAGAAAATTACAAGTTCGACAAAACAGAAAATTTTCTTCTCGCTCTTGTTATGTGTCTAAAAAAATTTGGAAAAAATTTCGACTTTTTAGCATAAAAGCTTAAAGTTTTCATTACAAAATAGTTTTTTTTAATGTTCCTAACATTTTTTTTTTATCGAGTTCGCGGATTAAATAAAAGAAGTCTTTTACCTTTGTTATCCTTACAACTCCGTTAAAAATCGTCATATGACAATTTAAAAAACAGATTCTTAAACTTGCACCTTGCTTTATCGAATGATATAATTATCAATATAATTTTTTTAAACATATAGACATAGTACATATAGACATGAAGTAGTGCTACGTACTTTTGTTCCAACTCAATGTAAATCCGTGATATCTCGAGAAACTTTTTTACTAACATTTTTTTTCCTTGAAAACAAATACCCGTGTCTCTATATGAATACAATTCTTAGCTATTAGCATGCATTTGTCCTTCTCAGCGGTAATAATAATAAAAATGTATATGCGTGACGTGTTTGAGATTTAAAATTGACATAAAAATGGTTTTAACCCGCGAACTCTTCGAATAATTGACTCTCTTACACTTGATGAGTACACTTAATAATGTCCCGTCATTTTTTCCCCCAGGGTCAAATACTAAAAGTGGCCAAGAATAAATCCATCGAAAACTCGAACTTCAATCCTAAGCGTCAAACCAAATTCATTATACATGGCTTTATAGACACTCCGCTCAGCAACTGGGTCAAGGTGAGCTTTATCCTTTTATTATTCCTAGATAGATACTCGTTTATCGTCCTAGATTTTTATAGAAATCCTTGCGTTATGTATTCGCAATCAAACTGTCATACTCATAATACCAGTTGCATGTATGTACCAAAGACTAGCCTACATCGTGCATCTCCATTACCCGATCATCGTCTTCTATTGCGAGCTAGATGTATTGGTAAAGAAATATACTTTTCTGCTACATTGCGTCAGTGTTTCAAATAGATATACGCGACCTAGTGACACAATTACATTTGATGACAGACGCAGTTCTTAAATAACACGCGAAAATTACCGCCGAGTTATTTACTCACAAAATATACTCGTAGGAAATGAGGAGTGAGCTGTTGGTGCACGGTGATTACAATGTTATCGTGGTCGACTGGGCTGGTGGGAGTCTACCTTTGTACACCCAAGCGACAGCGAACACGAGACTGGTTGGACTCGAAATAGCTCATCTCATCAAGCATTTACAAGTAAGAGATGTTCTTAGATTATCCCATTAATTATCCTTCATTATCTGTAAGTGGTGTATTCAGGTTACTTTAAATTTCTAAATTCGCTAAATATATACAAACGCTAAATGTATAGATACATAGTCATTTATACACGTTATTATGATGCGGTCCACTTAATGTTACAAGTGCGAAACATTTGATTGGCTAATCAGAAAAAAGATTTTACTAAATGACTAATAAAAAAAATCTCTAAAGCATTTGTAACATCAAGAGTAGTATAAATTATTTTACAATTAATGAATATTTTTTGAAATTATCTTTATTTAAAAATATAATATATCGTAAATCTCATTTAATTGTAAATCATCAAAGAGAGAGAAAAAGAAAAATGAAAATTTAAATATAATATTGAATGTCAGAAATACTTCACATTGCGGTTTTACGTTTAAAATACTATGCAAATAATATACGGCTATATGTATAAGTGATTTGTCCACAAAAGCTTTGTAGTGATAAAAGTCTATATTTAACAATTTGAACTATTGTATTTTTTTAAACTCACAGCAAATACAAATAAAAATTGCATTTTTTTCAAAATTTTTAAAAGAAAATAGCAAAATAAACAGAAAATGTATGTATAATAACAGAAATGTAGATATACTTATTTGAAAAAAGAATTGTCCTGAAAAGGAAACCGCGTAGTCATTTTAAATCAACATTAAAGAGACTAAATACACACCGTAGACAATTAAAATAATATTACATCTTCGACACACGATCAAAACAAAATATCACGGATGTGTTATCTCTAAAATAAAGATTGATTTATTTATACAATCAACCAATATATAGTTAAAATAAATTTGAGATAATAATTTACGATGACACCGTAACGTGAAGATATCTTTTACTTTTGATTGTATAACAAAATACTGTATTTATGTATTTATTTTTATTTCTGATAAAATTTCAGACAAACTACAGACTAGATCCGAACGACGTGCATTTAATCGGGCACAGCCTCGGTGCTCACACGGCCGGTTATGCGGGCGAGAAATTGGGCGGCAATATTGGACGTATCACCGGATTGGACCCCGCGGAGCCATACTTCCAAGGAATGCCGAGCCATCTTCGCCTAGATTACACGGACGCCCGACTGGTAGACGTAATTCACACCGATGGAAAAAGCATATTTTTCTTAGGTAATAGACACTACGTTTCGCTACAGATTTCTTATCGAGTTCGTGCGTGCGCGATGCGATGAAGAACTAGAAGATTCTATTGATCAGAACGATTCGAAAGATGACAATCTACTGGAACGAGAGAAAGACGAATGTTTCATTTTTCAATCAGCTAAAAACATTACAAAATACTTGTAACTTAGTGAATAACCAGAATTCAGAAAATTAAGTTTATCAATTTAGATGAAATCTCATGGAAACTTGTCAGCTTGGTGAGATCAAACAAAATTTTTGTTATAGTTAAGCTCAATATTTTATAACTAGAATATTTCTGATAAACTTCAACATAAGGATTTGATTACCTACTATTTTTAGTTGAATCTATAGGTTTGTTCATGTTACTTGTATTTTTTGCACTCGCAGCTTTATTTTTTCTTTTTTTCAACGCCTAAGTATATCTCTTTCTAAACGTAAAATTTTTTGGAAATTTTAAGCAACAGAAACAGATTTTATAAAATTTCTAGTGTATTCACTAGACGTTCTTTTTGTTAAAAAGTTATACTGAGATCAAACTAAATAACTTCAATATTTTTATCAAGAAATTCTAGTACATATGTTTAATGAGAAGGATTTAATGCGCATCTCACAATTTATAGAAGACTTTTTATTCGTTTATTTTTCAAGATATACTAGTAATCTACTCAATTTAAATTAATACTCTATCATTTTTTCTACCTAGATATAACTTTATTTGATAAAATTCTTATTTATTAAACATGTATATAATAATGATCGTCAGTCATCGTTTCGATAAATTCTCTGATAAATGGAGCTCCGTCGCATTTCCCGCCGTGAATCACATTCTCCAAACTAACGTAGTACATGGCAAGGCCTTCCAGGATACGGGATGAGCCAGCCTTGCGGGCACCTGGACTTCTATCCGAACAATGGCAAAGAACAGCCCGGCTGTACGGATCTGAGCGAAACCACGCCGTCACTGCCGCTTACCCTAATACGAGAGGGTCTCGAGGAGGCTTCGCGCGTCCTGGTCGCCTGCAACCACGTGCGCGCGCTCAAACTCTTCATCGAAAGTATCAACTCCAAGTGCCAGTACGTGGCGCACGAGTGCTCGAGCTATGCGAGCTTCTTGCGAGGCGAGTGCTTCTCTTGCAAGAGCAACAACAGCCTGAGCTGTGGAGTGATGGGTTATCACGCGGACACCAGTCCTGCACTGGTAAAACGCCAAGCCATGGGACAGGATGTCTCCTCTTTGTTGGGCTCCAAATTTTTCTTCATGACGGGCAAGGATGATCCGTATTGCAGTGAGTACGATATCTATTAAGAGCGGCTAAGGAGGTTCTTAATCCTTCGGTGGTAAATCTATTGGACCCACTCAATTACAAATTGACTCTTGGTTAAAAAAAATGATCAAGCAATTCAACTTTCTTTATATTACGTCCGCAAATTATTCTTATTGAAATATACTTAGGATGGTATTCATAAATCGATTCTTATATTTAAAACCGTCTTAAGTATAGTCTTAAGATATCATGAAGGACTGTATTAGCATCTTAAGACATTACTTAACACCTGATTAATATAAAATAAGAATACCAACTATGAATACCAATCTTACGCTCAATCTTTTTTTTCTATGAATTATGTCGTTTTATTCAAAAAGAACACAAGTCATCATGGCATCAAAATGATGACTAAAAGTCACTTTTCCATCATTATTATTTCAACGTCATTTTAACGTTATTATAACTTGTTGTTCCGCTTGGGTGGTCTCTTGAAATTAATTAGAGAATCTTTTCATTAATATAAATGAAATGAGCCTTACAAATCCAATATCAGTGACTGTGTTATACTCGTAGAGTTTGTCGTTAGCTGAGAAGGATTAAACGGCATTAACGAAGATAAATTCAGCTTCAAACGCTATTTCTTGCTATCCTATAGATATATAATTCAGGTTTGCTGTATAATCTTCGATATTAAGACTATACTAATGCTGATGAATTTTAACGTTATAAAATTAAAAACGATAACTATTAACTTTCCCAATAGTAATAACTACAGCTTAAGAACATCGTCGAAACCATCAGCTTTCCATTATAATGTTCCATTACTGTTCTCTCATGCTTTTAAATAGGTATTTTGATTGGTATATCATAAAAGTGTCGTGCAAGAAATATCGCAGCCGCAATTAAAAATCTTGCTCGCCGATATGAACGTTAATTTCGATCGAGATTTATTCAATCTATCTGTATGGTCTTCTCGTTATCGATGCGAAGAGAAGAATATCTACTGTGCAATGCGGCTTTTCTCTATCGCGAAAGACGCGACTTTCTCCGCGCGCGATAAAAGCACCAGACGGTGCCCCCCCCCTCTCTCTCTCTCTCTCTTTCCTTCCCTCTCGATCTCTCTCTCGAGATACTCGATGATACCGATCATAATCACCTTTTAGGAAGACATTACAGAATTACCATTAACCTCGCCCGACCGCCGACCGCGGAAAGCTGGGTGCAGGGTTTCATGAAAGTCACTCTCCATGCCGACAAAGGCATGATACGCAACATGGATCTCACGCCCAGGTAAGTAATCATGCTAGCGATGTTATCGCCTTGATAATCCACATTCGTTTATGACGCTTTTAGTCACACGACGGTGAAGATTAACGATAGATTAAGAAATTTTAAAATATTTCAGAATTTACATATATATACATTTAAAAGCCTAGAAAAGATAGACTCCCAGCAGACAAGCTAATATTATTTATCGTCATTTTGATAAAACCCTGAGAAAGTTCAGCAAACAAACCGACGTCAAAATCACAAAAAAGAACATCAGTTTATTTACCGGACTTTCTCAGCATTTTTTAAAAGTGCCAGTTCGTATAGAAAAATTTATGAAATTTTCTAAAAAGTTATACAAAAATTCTGACAAATTCAATTTATGTAGAAATCCAAAAAAATTATATAAAGAATTTTTTTTAGAGAAAAAATTTTTAATATAGTTCAACTATATATATTTAATTTCACGCTTCGCATAATCGATGCTGCGTGATTGTAAACAACGAGCTATATAAACGTCGAAGAATATATTCTCGCGCATGTTCCAAACGAGACCATCGATCACGCGAGAGACCGATGTGTGTCCGTAAATTATTTTACGACCTGACTCAATCTTGCGCTCGATAGCCTGTTCGGTTCACTTCTGTCTTGCCACTATATTTTAACGGGCTATCCCTCCCCCGCAGCGGTTACATGAAACTGGAGCACGGATCGACCGCGCGGATGGTCGTTGCTCATCCGACCGGTTCCATCGGCAACATCGGTAAGATCCGACGGATTGAGCTCTCCTGGGTCTACGACATGGACGTGCTGCAGCCCAGATCCCTGTGCTTCTTCTGGTGTAATGATCGCCTGTATGTTAATAGTGTCAAAGTCGATGCTATGGATCTTCCGGGCAGAGGGTGAGAAAGTAGAGCGTGACTACTGCTATGTTTAGCAGAAAAAGTAGTTTTGCAATCGTTTTATAATAAAATAATATAATTATTTATGTGATCTCTTTAATGTCACTAGTTTATACTAAATCCAGTAAGGAACTAGGGGCAAAAACCATATTTAAAAAATCTTTCTAAATAGCACAAAACATTCGATGAATATTCTCATAAAATATAAATTTTCTTAAAATAATAACGAAAGAAAACTTATAGATATTCCTCAGCACATTCGTATAAAAATACGTAGCATATTCTATAAAACATTGTACAAAATATTACATATGTTTATAGAAAATTTATAGTTATGCTATTTAAATATACTATGAATATACCATTAATATTTGACAGTGCTTTTAATACACATTCATAGAATATTCTTAGAATATTTACAGAACATTCACAGAATATTTGTGTGCTATCTGGATTACAAAGGCTGCTTCTTCTGCTGATGGTCTGGGACTGTCTTCTTGTATGTGTATACTTAACTTTGTTCCGCTTTTAGAAAACGTGAAGCGGATTTCTCCAGCAAGCTCTGCTCGGTCGGCAAGCAGGAATACGCGGAGATCGCGAGCGGATCCACCGCCACGTTCGTCGACAATTGCTGACGATCCGTTTCGCGGCGGGAAATCGCATTTTGGGCGCGTCATATAATTACAAAACGCAGCTGCTACGATCCAGAGGCGGTTCTCGAAAGTCGGACAATGATGATGATGATGATGATGACGACGATAATGATGAAACGAAACGAGAATCGCAGTCCCTCGTAATCCTCGTAATTTCTTTCGCCGGCGATATAGCGACGAGAGAGACGGTTTTATGCTCTCAGTCTCTATTTATCGCGACCGATCTGCCGCTTTCTTCAAATGTAACCCGACGGCACAAGCTACCAATTAACACTTCCATGGACGAGGCAATCCGACGCAACTCGCCGCTTTACAAAGTCTATAACCGAGTTCTTAGAAATCCGTCCCGTCGGCGAAGATTAGATCCTAATAATGCGATTGAAACGCGACCGATTGCGAAAGCAGTTCGTAGGAAGTAAAATTCTTAGCGAATAGACATCTAAATGCGAAATCGACCGAGCCGCGAGCGTGCTTCCAATAGAAAAGTCTAACTTCTCGCTATGCTTTTTTTCTTTTTGGTAACGATTTCTTCAGTATTAGTATTGATCAATTTACTATGTACATGTTGTATATAACAGTAGACGTAACGCATTAACATTAATTTCTTATAGATGTGATTATCGCTAGAGAGTCTTGAGTGATCACTAATGTAAGGCTCCTATTAAGCCAATCTATGTATTATACATTGAGACACTTATTCTTTTTGTACGATGATATGATTATCGTATTGTCTCGCGATACAAATATAACGATAGGTTGTGATATTCTCTTGCTTAAGAACTATAAAAAAATACGCAAAATGCGGTGACTCAAAGACGACAAACTATACTGCTATTTGCTCATAATCTTTATAAATAAAATGTACAAAACATGTAATGAAAAGGCAATTTCTTGTTAATGACAGGAATATTCCGAGCTATTTTTTTATATCTGTATAGATTGTTGCATTGTAAAATAAAGTTTATTAGTTATAAGTATGGATACTATTGCACAAAAATAAAATGGGGATATTTTTATAAAATATATGTGAGATTTGTGTGTTTGTGGAAGTTTATGTAAAATGTGTTATATTTGTTCTTGGAGATCTCGGGGGAAGAAACACACCTGCGATTACAGTTTGCTAATCTTTCGCAGTGTTTACTCCTCGATAAAACGCTTTACACGTTAATCCGTCACTTATACAAAAAGATTATCGCGGAGCGCAGCTATACACGGTAACACATGATTCTTCTCTTTTTTTTTTTTATCTTACACGAGATTCAACAATGATTGAGTAAAAAAGCCGTCCACGTTTGTTCGACGCGGTAACAAGGGATTGGTAAAATATATAATATGATATAATATAGCGATATACATAATATAATCTAATATAATCTCTAAAATCTGTCATATAACATAGAATCTGTATATAAATAATAAATAGGAAATAAGGGAGCAGGTTTGATCGATTAGCTTGGTAGACTTTAGCACTAAATTACCGTTACGAAGAACATTTATATAGGAGACTATGGGGGAAAACTGGTGACTGGACAAACAAGAAGAGTGTGTGTGAAGATAAATTGAGAACAGTGAAAGAGAGAGAAAGAGATAACTAACAATAGACGTGACTATACAGCTGATTCATTTGGCATAATAGTCTAGAGCGGACTTTTTTCTAGCGCGATAGGATACGGTCAGTGAAGATCATCGACCCAAGCGGTGTCTAATGACTCGATGAGAGTACGGACGAAGGCCATCTCCTTCCGTGCATTCTCTAAGATTACCCGAGGATCTTGGGACGTACACCGCAAAACATTCGGCGCCATCACCATCGCAAGATTATTGGCGTCCATTTTAGTACGGGCGACCACCTCGGGTCTAGCGAATATCTGTAAAGTTGTTTCAGTATCGTAGCAAGTATTTTTCAAATACTCTCACCGTACGTATAGCATAAACGTTGCTGTATATGGATTTATATATTTCGTTTAAAAAAGCGTGATATAAATGCAAATTTAGAATCACATCGCTACGCGCACGGTGAAAATAGCAGATAAATTTTCATTCAGCTTTCTCTTATTGAGATATGTATAAAATGACCTCTTACCTGTAGGAAGCGTATTAGATGACACAGCACACGACGGTTAAGGTCCGGTAAACGTTCGACAAGCGTAGCCACATTTGCCGCAGACGCTTCCGGATCGTCATGCCGCATGGATACGCATTCTACGTAGAAGGAATCAGGTATCAACGGCTCGTACAACTCACGCACCCATAATTTCAACAAAGAGGCGGGTGCGTGAGCGTCCTGTGAAGCTGCCAGAATCGCCCCATCCTCAAACCTGTCAAGACAGGATTTCAACGCACTGACTTCGTCCGCGTCCGCGGACACCCGGAAGATACCCTCAGTTAGCGTGCCACCACGTACGAGTACTTGACGCGTCAGCGTAGTCTGTATCCATGGTAACTCTCTAAGCGGAAACCGGTCCCTTTGTAAAGCCATTACTTCCGAGAGTGTCGCGCCGAACATAGACGCGCGGAAGATTTGTATCTATGAAAAAAGCATAAAGGATACGTCAGAATACTATATCATAATGCAAAGTGGATTAATTTGTATTTGATAATTGATCTTTTAGTAATTTTCCAATGTAATTTATTACCCTCGCTTGGTCGATATCCTCCACTGTGGCCTTACGAGGCTGTCGTTTACCGTGCGCACCGATCCGCTGCAATCGTCTACAGGCTACGGTCGCATAATGACTGACTTGCACGTGTATTGGCCACTTGGCGACCTCGGGAAACTGGAAGTTAGGATCGCGATGCCTATTCATGTAGCCCTCGAGGTAGGGCTCGAACGTGGCGCTAGGCGGCACGAAAGCCAGACACACAGCCATCAATTCCCATCCGCGTCGCAGACTCTCCTTCCGCGGATTTTCCGTCGTCTGCCGACAGATCTGAACGTACAACTCATCTCGCAGAGGCGGCTTCGTGAACGCGGTATTCACGATATCCATGGCGACGCCGTCCAACGTCATACCAACATTTGCTTTGCGATCTCCCATATACACTTGAACCAATCGGAATAAATTGCAAGCCTCTCTTTTAAGTAGTTTCTCACCATCCACCATCGCGAGCATCGGTTGCGGAATTGGATCTTTCGACCAACTGAGAATGTCCCGTACGCTAAACTTCTTTCGAAACAGCAGTCTTAGTCCTTTCGGTCTGCCGCAATTCAAATTGAGATTGTCCTGTGCGTATTTTTCAATGTCACCACCGCCTGTACTGTCATCTCTCCGCGCTTCGTCCAGGTTATCAGTGTTATCGACATTCGTTATACCGATACTCGGAGTTGAACTTACGGTGGGTATAGAGACCTGTCTCGTGGTCACTACGCTATCTCTCGCTTCCGTTTGAGACACGATATTCGGTGGTGAAGGCGGTCGCGCTTGCGGCCTTGTCAGGGTATCAGCTGTGGTATAATAAGTCGCTAAGCCCGCGGTATCGTAATTACCTAAATCTAAAAAACGTACAAGATACATCGTTAATTACAACTGTTCAATAAAAACGTATAATATCTTACGTTATTCAAAATAATATCTCACCCGCGTAATGATCCTCGAGATATTCTTGACTGGAAGAATCGCCTTGATTGCTGGCCGCTTCATCGTCGGCGAATTGATCATCGGAATCGTCATCACCTCTTCCGCCAATACCTTCGCCTCTGCCACCTTCTTCATCTAAAGAATCTTCCCCTTCTTCTACTAATAAAGGATCTCCAAACTTATAACAACCTATTATGAATAAAAGAAGAAAAACAATAAAACATATTCTATCGCACAAAAATATAAAATCATGAAAATTTTTGCTTTATTACCTGATAATTTCGCTTGTTGAAGGATATAATGTTGTAACGGTAACAAGTGATCAGCATCGGCCAGAAGATTACCGTAAAACGGCGATGGCGGAGGACTGGGATTTCCATTACTTCTTTTCTTCTTACTGTCATCTCCTTCGGCGTGACCCTCAGTTTCTTCACCCGCGGCGCTATTGCTGCTGCTGTTGCTACTATTACTACTGCTAGTGTTACTACTGAGTCTTTGTCTAGATTGTTCGTGGGTCTGACTTATCATCAAGTAACGTTCGTGCATAGCATCGTCGTCTCGCTCTCTCCTTCTAGCTTGCTGCTGTTGTTGCTGCTGTTGCTGTAACTGTTGCTGTATCTTTTGTTGCTGCTTTTGCTGTTGCACAAAACTGTAACTACGGCCCAATGGCTGCGGCACACCTTGTAAAATAATAATCACTCATGTATTGCAAAAGATACGTGCACATATATACAGGAAGGTGGCGAAAGAAATATAAAGATTATCTTGCTTACTGTCCAATGAGTTATTGCACGCTGTGTTTCGCCTGTACTCCTTCTCTCTGTCGCGCTCCCGTTCTCTCTCCCGCTCTACCACTTCAAGACCTCCTCTTTGTTTTGAGGAATTACCACTATGCACGCCAGCGGATCTGCCGAGACTCTTGGCAGGATCGTTTCTCTCAGATAACATTGCACCGTACACGTCTCTAACATTCGCTTCCGAAAGCGATGCAGAACATCCGTGATGTCTTCTGCCTATGCTACCTGTACCATCCTGCGGCTGCTTATTCATGTTTCTCGAGTGCATGGAACTCGGATAAAAGCCTGGCGGATTCGTCTTGTCAAGACTATTGACTCGTTCCCGATGATGCTGCTGCATTTCCCGTTCTCTATCCCTATGGTAACGATTGCCACTCTCCATTAAGGAACCATACTTCTCGCTCTGTGATTTATAACTATGGCTAAGTTGAACCTCAGGCGGACGATACGGTGGCATTTCCTGCCTGAAGACTCGGGATTCCATCAGGGAATCGCGATATGGCGATGTACTCGGCTCGGGACCATACGAGCCTCTACTACTTTCTCTACCTAAAATATCGGAAAATCAATCAATACAAAGATATGTGTGCGCTCGCGCGTATGTGTGTGTGTGGGGGGGGGGAGAGACAGCATACAACAAATAATTATGACAAAAACATAAATACATAAATATATTTTATATCCTTACCATTTTTACTTTTGTCTAGATCCAAGTTTCCAGCCCTACCTTCGCGTTGTGGATCAGTGAAGGTCTTCTTCTTAAACAGGGGTGTACTGGTCGAAAGTGATAGACCCAATGGCGGTGGTTCTCCTACTAACGATACAGATTTCTGATTTTTCACGCTTTCGAGAGTTCCGCTCTTGTGGCACCTAGTCTCCAGAGTGCCGCTACTGTGCTGCCTAGGGGAAGATTGTGCGGTGTTCACCGGCGTTTGCGCGGCCGAACGATGATGATGCCTGTGCGGCGAGTCCAACAAACGATAACCGGTTGACTCCAAGGAAGTTCTACTATGCGAGACGGAACTGTCGCTGGATCTACCAGAATCCTGTGAATGATTGTGTTGTCTGGTACGTGTCGTAGGTACATCATGATGCCTGTGATGCCTATTATTATGATGATGATGGTGGTGATGATGTCGCCTCGCGGACGGAGACGGAGAAGGAGGAGAAGTCTGAAGATCGACGCCAACAGTAGAAGTCCGCGTTTTA